AACTTCTTTTTGGGCAACATTAATTTTTTTCCATATAAATTAATATATAGTTAAAATATAACACACTATTAATTCTGTATCCATATGAAGTTAGAATTTATAAAATATTGTTTGGTTTTCTGTGAATTTATGCAAAAACTCTGTACTTTAAATACCTACAATTACTATCTTAAATTACAAAATAAATTTGTTTTCTGTAATAATTAAACATCAATATAGGAGAGAGTGTTCAATATGAAAGACGAATGAAGCACGACTGTTTAAGTACTTTATACTATAGAAATATTTTTATCAAACACATCATAACACAAGGTACACCTTGACTTACATATCAACTAAAAACCAGATTTAGGACTATCTTTGGTAATTTTTCTAAAACAAATGTATGTAACACTTTGAAAAATCTGTGGAAAACAGTACCTCATTGTCAGGGCGATGAGATCGTAAGTAGCTCTTCAGATCTCCATTGGCCATAAGTTCCATAATAACCAACGTAGGGTGACCCTTAGATACAACTCCCAAGAGCTTCACGACATGATGGCACTTAAATGCTCTAGATGAAACATTATAGATGTCAGACGTTTCAAATGCATTTACGGTTGATTTTAATAAATATTCACTAGTATTTAACACTTTTCAATTATATTATTTTTGAATCTCAATGAAAAATTAAAAAAATCATTAAAATATCAATCGTCTTCACAGAATGAAACTATAAGAAATACATTTCAATTTATTGTATTGTAAAAATCAGTCATAAGAGAAAAGTATCATTTTACAAGTTAATAAGACAAACAGTTTTGACAGTTTGAAAAAAACAATTACATAAAAATATGAAATACAATGACCAAAGATCAATAATAAATTTTTTTTTTTACTAATTAATAAACTCAAACAACCTGAACATTATACGAAAATAACAAATTCATGAAGAGAACTTGTATGTTCATGATAAATATACAAAAGCCAAAAACAAATGTTAAAACTTTTTTCTTCATTTTTCTCAGAGCTAGCAATTATTTTACATTAAACCCAGTATGATATCAGTAATATCCTCAGTGAAAAAGGAGAAACTGGATCTGTTACATCTAAATTCATTCTCTTAATTTTTAATACCTATTCTGTACAAGTTTTCTCCAGTAACAACTGTTGTTTACAAACCAGGTAAGCACGGTTTCAGTTGATTGAGTGTATACAGCACAATTTAATAATTGAATGTAAAAAAAACAGCAAAAAACACACAAACTAGAATAGGACTGTTATTAAATGTTTATTTTACTTACACTAATTTTATTACCTCACATCCACCACTTCTCACCATACTTCAGATTTAGAATTGTTGTACTATTATTGACAATACCACTTCAGATTTAGAATTGTTGTACTAATATTGACAATACCCAACATTTTTATATATTTCCAGTATTGACCAAATTACTTGAATAGAAAATGATATATCTACTTGTAAGTAGCAATATTTCATGTAACGTTTATATTCTTCAATGAAATGAAGTTTCTTTGTGTAATGATAATTAAAGCTGTCAAATAATGAGCGGGAAATTGACTCCAGTTACAATTTAACAATACTCAAGAAGAACCTCTACTTAGAATTGGACAAAATTCCAGAGAAACCACACACTTGGATATAGGACTTCATTTACAGTAATCATTGTAAAATCAACAATGGAATAGAAGTAAACACTGTTTTTTTCCTAGTGTGACATCAGTAGTCACATGGTATACTGATGACATTAGAAGCTTAAGTTACGATTGATTTATATTTTATCTATTTACACACCCAATTATAAACTTTTTAAAGTATGAAACTGTGCAACATTTTTGCTAGATTTAGCTCTCTTTACCTCCATATTGAGATAGACAAAATATTGGTTTTGTTATTTATTAAATATGAGCTGTTACAATTACTTTTATAGTTAAGATAATTAGGAAATTCTGATATATTTTTCAGAATGATCACACGACTATATTTATAATAAAATAAAGGAAATTTTATTCTAATCCACCAATCAAAAAGTATCATACTTTATTTGTTACTCTTGGATTTAGTTACCAAACAAATCAGCATTAGCTGATAGCTCTTTCACAGGTTTTAACTTTGTTTTAATACACTTCAACTGCTTGATCATAAAATGTTAAATAACACAGAAAATAACATCACTACATGCTCAAGACATCTACAACAGAATTAAGAAAAGTGTAAAACAACTATAAAAAACCTTTCCCAAATTTATCAGAATTATACTCACTTCATAACTGAAGCTTCCTGAAGGAATTCTATTCTTTCTCTTAAAGATGCGGACTCATTGACAGTCTGGGACAGGGAAGAATATCATTTTAACTATCAGAACCTTTTTAGCGAACATGAAAAGGAAATCGTAGATAATTATATCATCAACGGATGTTAATTTATTAGCAAGTATAAACCTATGGTTTTAATTGGGCAGAAAAATTCTAAAAATAAAACATGTTTTTTAAAGGCAGAATGAGGGGGGGGGACATTCCAGCTATATGTAAACTGTAGTCACTGAGATAGACACTAAATCGTGTCAAAACATTTAGTAGGTTCTTTAACCATTTACTTTTCATGAAATAGGTTTAACCTTTTGTTTTTTAACCTTAATTTTGTCTTGTGTGTGTTTAAGATTTTGTTCTATTATATTGATGTAAATAGTTTATAGTGTTCTATAACCAGTGATATTTAAACATTGCCTGTAACTGTTTTCAAAGCTGATCTTCATGAGTAGGTGTTCAAATCACATGCTGTGTGATCATTAAAGATTAGGAACAAGAAGCTATTCTAGTAAAATGATTTTAAGGGAAAGAAAAAATGTGTTGTAACTGTAATATTGTTTAGGTCTATTCTATCTTGCTCATTAACGTTAACTTTCAAACAAATGTAATTTAACAAATGTGTTGTAACTGTAATATTGTTTAAGTCTATTCTATCTTGCTCATTAACGTTAACTTTCAAACAAATGTAATTTAACACAAGAACATTTTTAATAATAAGAACATCTAGAGAAACTATAAAATAATCTCCATATCTGTGATTTCTTTGTAAGTTTTCTAAATTTCCAAACAAATGTGTTGTAACTGTAATATTGTTTAAAATTACATTTGTTTGAAAGTTAATGTTAATGAGCAAGATAGAATAGACCTAAACAATATTACAGTTACAACACATTTGTTAAATTACATTTGTTTGAAAGTTAACGTTAATGAGCAAGATAGAATAGACCTAAACAATATTACAGTTACAACACATTTTCATCTAATAAACATCTTCAGTACTGACCTTTACAGCACATTTAACTTTTGGTTTTCCTTCCACAAGGTCCTTAGCTTCTCCTTCCCAAACCATTCCAAAAGATCCCTGTCCTAGTTCCCTGAGTAGACACACTTTATCTCTGGGTACCTCCCACTCATCGGGCTCATACACTAAAGATAAAAAAAAAGTAACACTGATGGTGAATATATTTAATCTGGATTATTTAAACTACCTCAGTACAGAAGAAGTAGACCTCAGAAAACTGTATGACACTAGATATTAGCTCTTTAAAAGGAGGGAATGAGTTTACTGAACTGTTCTTGAGTTATGCATAAAACAGAGAGTCTTTCTATCCACAATGAAAACAACAAAACAAAACTTAATACATTAAAAACAAATCTTTGAAATCAGGAGGGTTTATAACTATAATTCTATTCCTTCAGTATTCATTTCCCAAATTGTAGATCTTACTAAGTTACTGTATTAATTTTACCAATGGGCTACACTGCCCACAGAAGAGGGCACGTAACCTCCGAAGGAAAAAAAAGAGTTCCTTTACTTATCATGAAAATGTGTAATTATAGTCGAGATAAAGAAATTACAAGAACTGGAAGTAAGTAACCATCAAAGTTGGATGTTTTGGGTAATTTTATGTTTAACTAGAAATGACTGAATGTCTCACAAAAACATCTCTAAACAATGAAGCATTTGAAATATGGAAAGTTAACTCCTCACTGAACTGTTGTAAAAGTGTTAGGATATAAGCTGTGAATTTTTTATCCAAACATGTGATTTAATAACCTAAACATTTTTTTTTATATTGGAAAATCTTATAAGTATTGGTATTTGGTTTAGATATCGTTATTGACTAAAAAACATTAACATTCAGTACATAAACAAGAATCCTAGTTGGCTACCTTCATCATTACTGACAATAAAGGTAAATATCTGCACTTGTCAACTAACAGCAGACAGAGTTTAAATAACATAAGAAAAATTAAAGATAAGAAGAACCTGAAATTTCAAAAGTATATTAGATACATTGCCTTTGAAATGTTCTAAGCCAAAGAACTATTCAGATATTATTAACAGATGTTTTTTTCATATAACACAAGAACAACTCAGGAAAAACTGTAAATTATTTTTTAAAACGAAACTTTACAAACACAGTATATATTTTCAAAGAAGGAATTAGATATTTCACACAAAGCTGGTCTCACAATGTTAATGAAGTTTTAGGATGATTTTTAAGTTGTTTTTTCTGGGATATTTTTTAACAATACAACTATAACCGCTAACAAAAGTTATATCGAGATTTCCGCCCAAATAAACAAAGTCCACGTATAAAATTGGTGGATTTATTATTGTTCCTGTTTTTACTTAAGGCCACCGGACAAAAATTTTTTAAAATTATTAAAAAAAACCTAATGTTTTTATTTTCTAGGCTTTCCATAACTAAAAATAGACTATAACGGGGCTAACATGTTAGATTTAACTGTAAAAAAAACAATAATTCATTTGATTTTAGAGCACATTAAATCATTAATATTTTAAGTTATGAAACACAAATCTTCAAGTAACTAGTATTTCAAACTATATGGTTATAAGTGTAATTACAACTAATAATTCTGATATTCCTGTTGCCAAAGTTACCACAGATATAGCCAAATAATGGCACACTAGTTTAGGCCTATCAACCACATATATGTCATCTCCATTAAGTTCAAAGCAGTCACAGTATAAAGTCAACTTCATTTCAAATTGTACAGCATGATATTCAATCTTACTTTATTTGTTTTTATTAATTATAATTTACAAGATACAAGAGAAATGAACACAAAATTCCACTGCACTTAACAACACACTACACTTACCGGCACTCGTGTATTCAGGGTTAACAGATGATTAAAGAACACTATCTGGCAAAATTCCACTACACTTACTGGCACTCGTGTATTCAGGGTTAACAGATGATTAAAGAACACTATCTGGCAAAATTCCACTACACTTACCGGCACTCATGTATTCAGGGTTAACAGATGCATAAAAAAAATTAACTGGCAGAACTCCACTACACTTACCGGCACTCATGTATTCAGGGTTAACAGATGCATAAAGAACACCATCTGGAACTCTAGGAGCAAGCCTACAAAACAAAGGTTATTTTATTTCTTTAACATTATTTTAAATTTTACAATTTCTCACTTCTTGCTTTTTTTCTAACCCTTAAATCTAACTATTCTATGCAGATCTAAATAATATATTTTAACTTCTGAATATTTTTAACATTATCTATATAATAAAGCAAAAGTCCAGATGATTACAAATATTTTTATCACTTAATGTTTCATAACCCCAAAGATTTCACAAATAATTATTTATCTAAATATGTAATTTTTCAATTTACCAATTTCAGTAATAACTGAGTTACATTTCTATATTTATCATCGAATAAGTGGAGACATTATTACAGTATCTGAATTTACTTTATGTTCTAAACCTGATGGTAATAACATTATGTATTTTTAAACCTGATTTTACTTCTGGAAAAAAAATATATTTTAAACTTAATCAAACAACCCTTAATTTCTTGTTAACAGTTTAACCCCATTTTTGAAATATCAAATAAAATAGTAAATTGAGTGAAAAAAAGATTCAGTATTTGGATTTGAAAAACATTAAATAGGTTTTTGAAGAACTTATTTTAACCCTATGCATTTTAACCAGCCTTGTAACTTCCAGGAAATTAAACATACCATAATTCTGTAACTTCGTGAAACTTGGCAAACATTTACTAATCATTACAAGTCTATCGTACACAAAAAAACAGATTAAAAGTATTTTTACTTAATGTTCATCCGTGAATTTCTGAAGTCTACTGAGTCAGTCTGATGGATTTCATGTTAAGTATAAAAATACCTGTTTGTACCTTACAGTCATCACATTTACTTAACCTCTATAGCTTCCTAAATGAATATAAAGTTGGTGTTTTTTATAATCTTTATATTTTATCTCTTATTTTCTCTACCCTGACAATGAAATCATCAATGTACAGTGAAACAAAAATTGCAAAAATGCAAACTAACTGAATAACGTTTTTTCTTCCACAATAACAGATTGTTGTGCACATGATTATTTATCCTAAAGCCTCAGCTGTCTAACTTTTTTTTACATCTGCTTGCCTTTAATTTTATTCCCTGACAATGTCCATTAGATCTGATATAAGTTATGCTTGCGTGATGCAGCTGACTCAAGCCAGTCTCGTAAAAATACTTTAATTTACTTTTTGTTTTCTTGCCTAATTAGTTTCTAATTTTTATAATTCTAGTTACTTTATTAAAAATATATAATAAATAAAGAACACACATAAAAAATCAAATTTACATTATGTCTGAAGCCTATTTCAATAACTAGTACTTAAGAGTGTATATTTTCTCAGCACCAATATTTTCATGCTATGTTGATTCTCCACAAAATCATTAATAGTCTCAAATATGCATTATAAAACACAAGAAACAAAATGTCCCAAAACTAATGTAACTGTTTTCTAACTAAACTATAAGTAGGCTAAAATTGTGTTAGCATACAATAAAACTGGGGCTGTATGATAACCGTTGGCAAAATAAAAGAACTATATAAGAATCACGTAAACAAAATGTTGCTCTTCCTGTCGATTACAAATAATCCAAGGACAATCATTACCATTTTTTGGAAGCCACGAGAGGAAATTTAAAACTTTGATAATACAAAAATGTTTATTATAAACTATGTTTTGATGTCGAGCTTATTAACATACATTGATAATAAGTTGCTTAATTACGTTTTGAATGTAACTCAATAAAAAAACGTCATGATATGGAACTTTGACTCAAATGCATAGTGTTGTCAATTTTTTAGTTTGTCCACTTTTTAAACCAGAATTACTAATTTATCTGAAGTTCACTTATAACTGTTCTTATAAAAAAGCCGACAGTGCTTACTTCCGTCTCACAAAGATCCATCCTCCCACTCCAAAGATGATGAAAGTGGCAACAGTACAACACACTACCAGAGCAAGTACTTCAGTTGTAAGACCACCTGTAAGAACAGATATTAAAAATAATACAATACCTAACTGGTCAAGAACTGTTTTACTCTATAGGCATAAGTAACAAGGTACTTAGTTGTTATTCTTAAAAATACTATACAGTTTAATACATATATCAGTATTGCTTCCAAAAAAAGCAGTGAATGAAACTCATCAGCTGATGATAACACTACCAACAACTTTAATTGTTTTGTCCATTTTTTAATTATATTCATTATGATTCCTGTTACAATCAAAAATGTAATACTATCTTAATTGCTAATAATTATAAAAGACAAATTTAAGTTCTTAAATTTAAATTTCAAACATGTAATAATGGTGTGTATACTGCTATTTTCAACTGTTTTTATCTGAAGCAGAGAAAATCTTTAGACTCTGACTTTGCTGTGAAAAACCATGATTTATTCTAAGTTCACGAGAAAATAAAAATTTAGAGATTAAATAAACAAAACTGACCCGATGTTTCTGGAATTTTAAAAAACACATAGTTTGTCCAATTTCCATTTCCTGCTAGAGAAGTAGCCTGAAGCCGGAGTGAATAATTACCAGGAGATAAGGCCGTCAGTCTATGGCCTTTGTCTGTCTGGTACTGGAGATGAGTAATACACACAACAGTGGGCTTAGGCTATGAGAAATGCAAAATAACAGTTTCACTCCCACGTAACAGTAGACTAATGGGTGAGAGAAGTACCAGTGAAGTATAAGACACATCAAATTTAATACAGTGAGTTTAAATTGTAGAAGTACCAGTTAGGTATAAGACACATCAAATTTAATACGAGTTTAAACCGTAGAAGTACCAGTGAAGTATAAGACACATCAAGTTTAATACAGTGAGTTTAAATTGTAGAAGTACCAGTTAGGTATAAGACACACATCAAATTTAATACAGTGAGTTTAAACAGTAGAAGTACCAGTAAAGTATAAGACACACATCAAATTTAATACAATGAGTTTAAACTGTAGAAGTATCAGTGAAGTATAAGACACATATCAAATTTAATACAATGAGTTTAAACCGTAGAAGTACCAGTGAAGTATAAGACACACATCAAATTTAATACAATGAGTTTAAACCGTAGAAGTACCAGTGAAGTATAAGACACACATCAAATTTAATAGTGAGTTTAAACTGTAGAAGTACCAGTGAAGTATAAGACACATCAAATTTAATACAATGAGTTTAAACCTGTAGAAGTACCAGTGAAGTATAAGACATACATCAAATTTAATACAATGAGTTTAAACTGTAGAAGTACCAGTGAAGTATAAGACACACATCAAATTTAATACAATGAGTTTAAACTGTAGAAGTACCAGTGAAGTACAAGACACATCAAATTTAGTACAGTGAGTTTAAACTGATACTTCTACGATTTAAACTCATTGTATTAAATTTGATGTGTGTCTTATACTTTACTGGTACTTCTACGGTTTAAACTCATTGTATTAAATTTGATGTCTTATACTTCACTGGTACTTCTACGGTTTAAACTCATTGTATTAAATTTGATGTCTTATACTTCACTGGTATTTCTACAGTTTAAACTCATTGTATTAAATTTGATGTCTTATACTTCACTGGTATTTCTACAGTTTAAACTCATTGTATTAAATTTGATGTCTTATACTTCACTGGTATTTCTACAGTTTAAACTCATTGTATTAAATTTGATGTCTTATACTTCACTGGTATTTCTACAGTTTAAACTCATTGTATTAAATTTGATGTGTGTCTTATACTTCACTGGTATTTCTACAGTTTAAACTCGTATTAAATTTGATGTGTGTCTTATACTTCACTGGTATTTCTACAGTTTAAACTCATTGTATTAAATTTGATGTGTCTTATACTTCACTGGTACTTCTACGGTTTAAACTCATTGTATTAAATTTGATGTGTCTTATACTTCACTGGTATTTCTACAGTTTAAACTCATTCTATTAAATTTGATGTGTCTTATACTTCACTGGTACTTCTACAGTTTAAACTCATTCTATTAAATTTGATGTGTGTCTTATACTTCACTGGTACTTCTACGGTTTAAACTCATTGTATTAAATTTGATGTCTTATACTTCACTGGTACTTCTACACTAGTACTTTACTGTTATAAACTCACTATTAAACTTGATGTGTCTTATACTTCACTGAAGTATAAGACACACATCAAATTTAATACAATGAGTTTAAACTGTAGAAGTACCAGTGAAGTACAAGACACATCAAATTTAATACAGTGAGTTTAAACTGTAGAAGTACCAGTGAAGTATAAGACACATCAAATTTAGTACAGTGAGTTTAAACTGTAGAAGTACCAGTGAAGTATAAGACACATCAAATTTAATACAGTGAGTTTAAACCGTAGAAGTACCAGTGAAGTATAAGACATACATCAAATTTAATACAATGAGTTTAAACTGTAGAAGTACCAGTGAAGTATAAGACACATCAAATTTAATACAGTGAGTTTAAACTGTAGAAGTACCAGTGAAGTATAAGACACATCAAATTTAATACAGTGAGTTTAAACTGTAGAAGTACCAGTGAAGTATAAGACACATCAAGTTTAATACAGTGAGTTTAAACTGTAGAAATACCAGTGAAGTATAAGACACATCAAATTTAATACAATGAGTTTAAACTGTAGAAATACCAGTGAAGTATAAGACACATCAAATTTAATAGAATGAGTTTAAACTGTAGAAGTACCAGTGAAGTATAAGACACATCAAATTTAATACAATGAGTTTAAACTGTAGAAGTAACAATGCACAAGAAAGGAATTATCCTAATGGTCTAGAGAGAAGAAAGCATTGCATGACAAAAATCAACCTGAATTCACTTCAACTTGTACATCAAAAAATAACAAGTGAGAGTACTAATAAGACAAAAAGCTGAAACCTAAACATACCCAGCTAATGGAAATTGAGAAAAGAATGTTACATGTACATCTCTGGTATAAGTAGAAAGAAATGTTTTGACACAAACTATACATATATAGTCAATGTTTGAAAATAAAAAACCAACAACACCAGTTTAACATTTCATAAATTAAAAAATATAGTCACTCTTTTGTTAGAAATCACGTGTAATTAAACAATTTTTCATCTTCCAGACATCAAAGTACTAGATATAAAATAAACTACCCTTTGTTTGTATAATAAATGCTGAGGTAAGAGAGGACCTTTACATTTCAACTAAGATTATTTAGTGAATTTCCAAATGTTCCAATAGTTGTTTATGGTAAATATTAGTATATGTAAACTGTTTGTATAAAACATTGTTAATCTCTCTCTAGAGTTTAGGATTTCTTTCACAACCTTTTTAACTTATTTTCATCAAACCAATTATGCATATTACAAATGATATTTTTTCGCATACATTCTTTTCACTGTGACAAGCACTTTTTAATACTCCGATAAAACGAGTCTAGTCCATTACCTACCAAACCTTGGAATAAATTTAACCACTAAACATTTGTGTTACCAATAAACAGAAAGGTAACACCATATTAAACACTAACACATGTAACAACCAGGTATTGAAAGTACACTAGTCACTCCTTGATGCATTTTGTACCAGACAGTTTTAACAAAATGTACAAAATTAACAAAATAATTATCACAACGTCGAACAGAGTCCACAATTAATTAAAATCTGATGATTGCTAAAAAGTCTGAAAAATGTATAACCATTTTATTGCATAAATCATCTAGTCACATCACCAAGTACATTTATAACGAGAGACAGTAATACTCACGCTATCATTATCTAGGTGGGTATACTCGACGCTGTAAGATACTATTACACCATTTGGGTTTTTTGGTTCATCCCATTTAATTAACATAGTTTTACTTGAACTATTATCTGTTCGGATCAATATGGTATTGCTATCAATATCGTCAGCATTGCCTATAAAATGAAAGATATTTATAACATTATTTTTTCTTAATATCAATATAATCAATAATGAATTTCAATAATTTTTTTTTCTCCCAAAACACATTTTTTCTTTATTTCTTGTATGGATTCACAGTTTATAATTAAATCAGTAAGTTAAGTTCTTAAACTTGCACGTCTTAACTCAAAGTTGCCAAGCATAAAATGTATGAAATGATTGTGTTTTCAAGTCTTAATCAACCTGAAGATACTCCTAAAAAGCCGTTAATTGTCTCATCCACATTACAAAGCTTTTGAGAAAAATTGTTTACTAATTTCATTTCACTTACTTAATGGCAAAGTACGAATACTCGCAATAGCCTCTGTGCTACACGGTTGATGCAAGTGACAAGAGGAATTCTGGGTTTCCTTATCAATGTCTTGACAAGCCCGAACCTAAAATATGCAATAGTACAAAAACTATGGATTATGATAAAATTAAAAAAAAAATTACTATTTGGTAATAAAATAAGTTCATAAAATAGTAGAAGTATCAGAAGATATGTTTTTATTTCAAAATCAATAAAACACTAAGGATAAAAACAAGCCTTACTGTAATATGCCTCAAGGAAATATAACTCTTACTTAAATTGTGCTGCTATCTGCTACCTACCTTTCATGAAATGAATTTAATCCAAGTGCAACCTATGGTATTATCTATATGTTACATGTTTCATTGTCCAAAAAGAATAGATGACTTATAAATAAAATAAACAGAAGACTTGGTGTTACCTCTATAGTATACTCAGTGTAATGCCGAAGCTGAGACACGGTAAGGCTGGTGTGTGTAACATTGATGCTAAACCGAATGTAAACACCGTTCTCGGTCACATTTTCACTTGGTGGGTGTGAAGTACTGGTATTACCGGGCTCCAGAGTGGTTGAAAAGTGGAGATTTTTTTCGCTTATGGAGGTTGAACCAGATTCAGTCACCTTCTGTGGATTCTTCGAGGTATATATGGCTCTTCTTGAACGACTACTAACTCCCAATCTTGCATTAGGACTAAAAAAAGTCAAAACTGCTATTTTTAATATATAAAACTGTTATGAATATTATACAAATTCAAAGTTTCTTAAGAAGAATATGAATGGAAGTTTGTAATCAACAATAATTAATAAAACAAAAGAATTTAAAATGCACAATGGAAACTAATTTTGGATGACAAAGTTAACAGCAAGACAAAACTGACATCCAAACAACAAAATTTACATATAGATGACTGAAGTGACATTAGACAAAAAAAACTGGTATCTAGAGAACAAAATTACCATTTGGACAAAAAAAGTTATATCTAGAAAACACAGTCAACATCTGGATACCAAAAGTGACATTTAGACACCAAAGTTAAATCTGGATACCAAGAGTGACATTTAGACACCAAAGTCAAATCTGGACAATAAAAGTGACATTTAGACACCAAAGTTAAATCTGGATACCAAGAGTGACATTTAGACACCAAAGTCAAATCTGGACAATAAAAGTGACATTTTGACACCAAAGTCAAATCTGGACAACAAAAGTGACATATTGACACCAAAGTTAAATCTGGACAACAAAAGTGACATTTAGACACCAAAGTTAAATCTGGACAACAAAAGTGACATTTTGACACCAAAGTTAAATCTGGATACCAAAAGTGACATTTAGACACCAAAGTTAAATCTGGATACCAAAAGTGACATTTAGACACCAAAGTTAAATCTGGATACCAAAAGTGACATTTAGACACCAAAGTTAAATCTGGATACCAAGAGTGACATTTAGACACCAAAGTTAAATCTGGACAACAAAAGTGACATTTTGACACCAAAGTTAAATCTGGACAACAAAAGTGACATTTTGACACCAAAGTTAAATCTGGACAACAAAAGTGACATCTAAACAACAAAGTTAAATCTGAACACCAAGGTGAATTTGAAGTTAACATACTAGCTGTTGGGATCACAATAAACAAATTACTTCATCTAAAAGCTCATCTGCTACACAATGGTTTTCACATAATACATAGTCTATAAGCTGATTTTGTTCTAACTACTTTTATTCTCTGTCATCACTTGGAGATAACACAAAGTCTGCCCATTGAGGCATGGCTGTAAAGCTGCATGAAGGTCAACAGCAATGGTAGGGCAAGGTGATATCTCTAAGATACAGTTTTCCTTGTTTTAATGGGAATGAATGGTCATAAGGGTAACAGTAGTTGTTCTGGGTAAGTCTGATGTTATTGATTCAACAAAGTAACATGACTGGAATGTCATCACGAGTGAGTAGGAGATTACACTGGTGAACGGATACCATGGTTAACACTTTAGGAGCCTGGGAAGATCAACTGAAGGACCTAGATTAAACACCGATGCTCCTTGCCATGTGGCAAGGCAAAGCTCACCAAATAAAAATACACAGCACAAATGAATATAACTTGTGGCAATTTTACAGTATATGAAGGTGCACTTTAGGAGCCTGGGAAGATCAACTGAAGGACCTAGATTAAACACTGATGCTCCTTGCCATGTGGCAAGGCAAAGCTCACCAAATAAGAATACACAGCACAAATGAATATAACTTGTGGCAATTTTACAGTATATGAAGGTGCAACTTATCATTTAGTGAGCTGCGGTTCTCAAACTGTGCTGCAGCTAGTAATCTCCAAAGCTGACATTTCTCTAGACTTTGTAATCTCCAAAGACTAGAGGGCATCAAGATATTACTCGCAATTCAGCTATCGTTCAACAGTGGTTCTACTGGTCACATTCCAATAGAGATGTTTCATGCTGTTGTGAACAGATTAAAGTGTGTGCTGTCCAGAGAAACAGCTGAAAGAGACAAGGCAAACTCCAGCAGAGAATTGTTGCACCTCATCAACGGGTAGCCCTGGACACCGTTGGTCTATTTCTGGAAACCGAACGAGGTAACTGGTACGTACTCATTGCCACCAATTACTTCATGAAGCAGGTTGAAGATTAGCCAATGGTTAATACTTTGGCACAGCATTGGAAACCACAGTTCAGAACACAAGGAACGATCCACATGGATCATGGGGTAAATGTCAGTGGTCAGTTGTTATCTGAGTTGTGTAAATTATTAGCAGAATGGGTAATATTATGTGAATGCTTGTAAAATTTGTTAATCCTGGCTGGCATATTAGTTGACGTGCATGAGACTGAATATCAGTACCTAAGAAAGGATGCCAACACTAGAAATAGTAATAAATAAACATAGTATTCCGAAATCTAAGTTCAAGGGAGGTCCAATTCAATCTACACTTTGATCAATGTGCGTGTTATTCGGTTATACTAGTTTCAGAGAATTCCACTCCTCATCAGTAACCCTGAACACAAATTAACCAAAGATAGATAAGCTGGACTTATATCATAGTGAAAAGTATCAAACCTACTGTTGGTGTGAACATGCTTTGTATTCACTATGAGGAAATAATATCCAAAAAGATGACAAAGGAGTTACAGTGAACCTATAAAATTACATTAAAAATATAAACTTGGTTTTTGTGTTAACTTCTTGCTAAATATCTATATAAAGTTAGCACTGGTTCTTGAAAAAAAACACCAAACATTATTCAATTGTTACTTTTAAATCCATCGACAATGAGTTACGAACTGCGATATATTTCAAACCTGCAATGACAAGTGTTGTAGAAAAACATACAACCATAAACTGGATGAAATTTAATAAACAAATTTCCTCTCAACATTTAGATACAAATTACACAGCAGTCACTTACTTCTTAATATAAACTGTATTATGGATAGCATCCTCAAACTGGATCTGGTCTTGGATTTCATCCTCCTGTTTCTTCTCACCTTTCTTGTCTGTGCATGGACAACACTTGCCATTTTTTGTAATACCTCCTTCATCACTTCCATCTTTATCTACCCCCTGTCCTGTATGAGAACTGTTCACCCACAAGTTTGTGGTATCCCCATCCTCCTCCTCAATTCCTCTGTCTTTAAAATCAATCACGATGGCTGTAATAAAAAGAAGAAAGATATAAAAGAAAAATCACAGATTTATAACAAAATAAATTAACAGATTTTTTTGTGTCTGAGCTAAACAAGTTTTCTAAGGGGATACCAGACACCAGTTTCACCATGGTAGACAATTTGAGAGAGAAAAATTATTTTTAAAAATTATATACTATTCAAACTAATATGTTTTATTTAAGTGGAATTAACATCCACAATTACAATGACTAAGTTGTTCAAGATTATTCAACCCTGTTATGGCCTGTGAGCAGTTTTACAGTCTATCAAGTGCACACCTGTGTATCAAATTTCAAAATTTAAGAAACAATAGTAATTCTGACACAATTTCAATAATTTTTTACTCAAATATATTTAAGGATTGATATTTTGTAACTCTGTAAAACTTATTTAATATGATTTAAAGAAAAGATAAAAAATGTTTTTACATAAATTATACATTTATACATGTTGCTATGACAATCTAAACTTATAGCCTCCAATCCACTAGCTCTACTGAGATATAAACTAGAAAGTCAAACCCACACGTCACGATCTCTTATCACAACCAGTCTTTCAACGAATGTAAATATTTCTCTCCGACATTTGCTACTGGATTATTTATAGCCAACAGAAAGAGAAGATTGTAATTTACTCAATTCGTTATAAGACTAGCTCATTCTGGTGGCAGCCAAAGGAATTATTTTAAAATACGTAGAGCTTAATTATAAACTGAATGAAATTGTAAAATTTTAAGACACTGTATTCTTTGTGCATGTTATTATTTTGTATTATAAACTGAATATATGAAATAAATAAAAATACAGTAAAATACTAACAATAATACTACTAAAAATTAGGGTTAACTTTCATTGAGACTTTGACTGCAAAAAAAAAAGTACAAGACTCACATTTAAGTACTATACTTATTGTTTTTTCATGAATTTTTATATTTATTGTTTGTTTATTTTTTAATGTTAAGCACAAAGATACGCAATGGGCTATCTGGCCCACGATGGGTATTGAAACCCGGTTTATAGCATTGTAAGTCTGCAGACATAACACTGTGCCTCTGGGTGGGGGGAGCTTTTATTTATTGTTATAAAAGTAATTAAAATGCAAAAATCAGGAACTTATTTTAGATAAGAAAACTTAACTGAAAAAAAAATACATTTTACTGTCAAGAATGTGTGTAAGCTGCTTGTGTGATGTAATTCAATACTTAGTTTACTGTAACTTGCAATATGTTTTTGTAGGGTGATGTATTGCATTGTTATGCTAGTTTAGTAGTTAGGCATAGTTCAGAGAGCAATAACATGATAAATTAAATTAAAACACTCAAGGAAATGTTAAAAACTGAAGATTTTAAGACAAATAACAGAATTTTTCTGTTACAATAAGCAGTCATTGTAGAATAAAAAAATGGTACTTTTTGTCTGAGCCTATTTACAATGGGATAGAGAAAATAACAAATAAAAAGTTCTACTGAAAAACTTTGATATTCTTTTAGGAGGTTCTAGATGTTAAGCAAATGAAACATGAAACTGTAAGATGGAACAAAAAATGCATTTCTATTTTTAACATGAAAATCATCTTGCAATCAGACTGGCTCAGTAAAGGCTTTGTAAATTCAAAGACAAATTTTTGGTAAAAATATTCAATTAAAAAATTGATTTTTTTTTGTAAACAACAGGTTTGTAATGTTTACTGAAAGCTTGATAAAATTTTCTGAAGATACAATGAGTAAATATATACTTTCATGGTTACTTGGTGGTTACTAGGTTGGCCAAAGTGATCAAGTCCACATACAGATGGTTAACCTTTTCTATACAGAGTCATTCAGCGTGGCCGACCTTGTAATACCAAAGTATTAAACCATATTTCCATACTTTAAATGTTAACATGTTTTGTGTATCTTCACGATATTTGGTAAGCTTTCAGTAAACATTAAGTCTTTTGTACACAAAAAATCAGATATTTTAATAAAGTATTTCTACTAAAAATATGTGCATGATGTCAGGATGTAGACTAATCTGAGTGCAAAATGAATTTCATGTTAAGATGAAAAATACTTTTCATTATCTAAAAATTTTCAAACTTTATTTGCATAACCTTTAAAACCTCCTAAATAGCTATCAAACATTATTATTCAGTAAAACTACAATTTATCTGTAATTTTCTCTACCCTAACGTGTGACCATCATAAAAAATAGGAAATACATCCAAATTACCTTTTTTTTTTCGTTCTAGAATCACCGAGTTTGTAACAGAAAATGTACAAAGCAAGTAATGTCATATAACTATTAAAATTTAACTGACTTTCTAACTAAGACAATAGGGGTTTAAAATAATTACACTTGCTGTTTGACCTGAATTGCCATAAGATAAACTATCCAACTGAAGCCACAATTTGATCATATTCCATACTAAAAACAATGTATCACTAAATATCATTTGGTAGATTTAATAAAATATCAGAGAAAGTTATTGGGAGTTTGTGAGAGAGGACGTGACAGGTGGGTGAGGCCAGAGGGTCTGTCTGTCTAGTTTATGACCATAAAAAAAGGAGATTGAAGGCTATAAAAATTAGAGTAATATCTATATTATAATGAGTAATTAATGTTAAACTCCGTACACAAAGAAAAGAAGTAGGTAATTTAGAAAGGGGGGGAAGACCTAGATAGAGTAATATCTATATTATAATGAGTAATTAATGTTAAACTCCGTACACAAAGAAAAGAAGTAGGTAATTTAGAAATGGGGGGAAGGCCTAGATAGAGTAATATCTATATTATAATGAGTAATTAATGTTAAACTCCATACACAAAGAAAAGAAGTAGGTAGTTTAGAAACTGGGGGAAGACCTAGAGAACAAATCTCACAATTCTCATATTGAAGATTTATTAACTGCGTTTTTATGCCACGATAATAAATTAGTTTAATTACATTATGAACAGGTCACAAGATGTGCACTTCGACCTACCTTACTGTTTCACTGCCAAACCGGTAAACTGGCTGGTTACACCTAACAAGATCTACTTATTAATAAACAATTTTATAATCTTCATAGTTTGATGTCAGAAGTACTTCACCAAGCAATGACTACTTTTTATTATTTTGTTACACAAATCTCAGGGTAAGTAACTTAACTGTCAACTTAGAGCTTAATTAGCTCTTCAACACCTTGACATCACTGTCTATGATCACACTTCACCAAGCAATGACTACTTTTTATTATTTTGTTACACAAATCTTTAGGGTAAGTACCTAAACTGTCACCTCAGCTTAATTAGCTCTTCAACACCTTGACATCACTGTCTATGATCACACTTCACCAAGGAATGCCATCTTTTTATTATTTTGTTACACAAATCTCAGGGTAAGTAACTTAACTGTCAACTTAGAGCTTAATTAGCTCTTCGATACTCCGACATCACTGTCTATGATCACACTTCACCAAGCAATGACTACTTTTTATTATTTTGTTACATAAATCTCAGGGTAAGTAACTTAACTGTCAACTTAGCTTAATTAGCTCTTCAACACCTTGACATCACTGTCTATGATCACACTTCACCAAGCAATGACTACTTTTTATTATTTTGTTACACAAATCTCAGGGTAAGTATCTAAACTGTCAACTTAGAGCTTAATTAGCTCTTCGATACCCCGACATCACTGTCTATGATCACACTTCACCAAGCAATGACTACTTTTTTATTATTTTGTTACACAAATCTCAGGGTAAGTAACTTAACTGTCAACTCAGCTTAATTAGCTCTTCAACGCCTTGACATCACTGTCTATGATCACACTTCACCAAGCAATGACTACTTTTTATTATTTTGTTACACAAATCTCAGGGTAAGTATCTAAACTGTCAACTT